AAAAAAAAAAAAAAAAAAAAAAAAAAACAAATCACACATGAAGATTGGATTTTTATTTATGTGTTATCATTTTCACATACTTGGAGGTCCAAAAGTAGAGGAACTTGAGTCTCCTCAACTTCAGCAGCAAGAGAGAGGCAAGCCACAGCAGCTAGCTGAGTCACCCATGGCCTTTTCTCCCCATGTAACTCAAACCCGCACAAAAACCTATCAAGATAGTCAACTGCAAGAACCGAAGTGAGGGCAGAAAAGGAATAGTGCCCAACGACCTTGATCATCCACTCCACCCCCTCAACCCTGGCCTTCACCAAAAACAAATTTCCCTCAAAGCCACGTAGCGGTTTTTTTTCTTGCTATTTGACCAGCAACAACCTCAACTCATCATCTTCCCAAAGGTCCTGCTCCAGAAACTCCACAATAAGGCTGTTCTTTCTCCTCGCCCTTTTATCAAGTACTTGGTGTGAAAAACTGAATCTTCATTGTTCTATAGACATTGCTCTTTCAGCGGTTGACGGCGGAGCTCCTTACCCACGGCGTAGAATCGTGCGCCTTCACACCATAGAATCGTGCGCCTTCAAACTCTTCAATGGGTGTTCCTTCACCACGGCCCTAGACTCCTCTTATTCCTCCGCAAGGCCGCGCGACAGCTCCCACAAAACGCGACCCTACTGCGCCGACCACGTCACCTCCTCCTTCTCCATCGCCGCCATCCACTCCACGAGCAGCGAGGTTCAATTTCATTAATATTTCCGTTGCAGAAGACGGGAAGGATAAAAAGATGAATTATTTTTGCTTCCATAATAATTCTGCTAGTGTTTGAAGGAAAAAAAATGAAATCTTGTTTGGAAGAGAGGAACGAAAAGAGAAGAGCTCCGCGATTAGGGGTTTGAGATTGAGACTGAAGAGCAGAATGGATAATCTCAGTTTCAATCTTTTTCGGTCAATGTCGTGCGTTGAAAAAATGGAAAAGTGGTTGTCATTCCATAATCTCAAGATTTTGAGGGAGAAATGAGTTTCAGAGATTATAAATGAAGAAAGAAGAGGAAATGGCGGAGAAAGTGAGACGTGCGAAAGCCTTTTTTTCGGATTGATTTGACAAATGAGGAAACGTGCGCAGACCACCATACATCAATGTCAATAAGTCGGTCAATGTAAAAGAGCCAAAACTCTAAGTAGTGGCATCAGTCGTTATTATCGGGAAAAACTAAGGGCATTGTTCGTCTAAAATTTCGATTCCATAATAATTTTGCTAGGGTTTGAAGGAAAAAGAGAAATCTTGTTTGGAGGAGAGGAAGAAAAGAGGAGAGCTCCGCGGGTTTGGGGTTTGAGATTGAACAGAATGGATAAATCTGAGTTTCAATCTTTTTCTCGGTCGACGACGTGTGCTGAAAAAATGGAAAAGTGGCTGTCAGATCCGAAACGTTGCGTGTGTGGGAATTCAGTAGAGGAGAAATAAAATGTCAACACAATTCAGCGTAAATCGAAACAGTACAACAGTAGAAGGAAAGAATACAGTGCCATTTTAGCTGAATGAAGAAACAAAAAAAATAGTAACTGCCACGTGTTGATCACCGGGAGGGTCGAAAATGGAC